ATTATTGAATCTTTCGTGAATTTATAACAGTTTATGTGACCACTTTTAATCATATAGTTTCATCATGAGAAGCTGGGAAACAAGGGCTTTTCGAGACACTGCATTATAAATGAATGGTAAAAAATCAGTAAAGAAGAGTGAAAATAAAAGCTTCATTTAATCTGCCGTAAAACTTGTTAAAAATCCCAAAGAAATATTAACTGAAATAAGTGACATTTAGAGCAATCAATGCCTGTTTTATAGACAAAAAAAGCAGGTGGATTTCAAAGATAAAAAATTTTATAATGGGCATCAAAAATGGGTACCCTCCTTGCCAACAGAAATGATAACAACTCATGTACTGTTCGCCAAATTTTAACAAATAATATTTAATGTTGTATGATTGACTTCAAGACACATAGCAAATTTGATAGACATTACATCGGGGTAGTTTACACTGTATTGAAGAAACGTTTGGCGGTAAAAAAGCTTGATACTCAAAGGTCACCCTATATTTTGAAAAATGAGTGAAAATGATAGTGTGTACGAAATTCTTCACAATTATTTTAAAATATCAGTATTTGTAGTTATACACGTTTGTTTTATTTTCAAACAGGTATTGGAACATGAATCTATAGCTTAAAACCCTCAAAACAAAATTTATCATTGAGATGTACTTGATAAAAACGGCAAATGTCCGAAAAGTTCACAGGTTGCAAGAGCACAAAGACAGATTTATATGTAATTTTCTTAAACATTAGTGATGATGTTGTTCAAAATCGTATTTGGAGAGACAGATTAATTTCTGGAGGAGTCTAGAGAGCACTTTTTTGGCCAAAAAATCAAAAGGTTTATCAGAGGATGGACCAGGAATCAGGAATCCTCTACATTGAATTTCTTCAAGACAGCGTCCAAACCCGCATGCTCTGAAGAGTAAAGGGGTTTTTGGGATAAACAGAAAGTTAATGTTTTTAAACATTAACAATTTTTGCAAGATCTTTGACCTCTTGACTTGTTTCAATTTCCAAACTTGGAAAATATACCTTTTAGAAAGAAGAAACAAGTCCGGGAAATCATTGGATCTGCCATTTTCCAGTATACTGAGGGACATACCCAAATATGAGTTCTACAAACGATCAGAAATTGGATAAAAAATGTTACGGACATGTATTTTACTTAAAAGAGATTAATTAATAAAATCATGAAGAATAAATAATTGAAAAGCGTCTTTTATTTCTTTCTGAGCACCGAGGACATTATTTATTGAACAGCCCTCGTACATGTACATATGTATCATTCTTATCAAATCAAAAAAATCAGTTTACAATCAGGTTTTATTGCCTCCTTCGTTAATGATACACTGATTGCAATTTAAGGAAAAAAATGACTGACAACAGATATTAATTCTAACCCAGAAAAGTGAATTGTAAATTACTTTTACTTTTTTAGAAAAAAAACAAATTATGGCTGCTAAAACTTACTTTAGCTTAAATACTTGAACCTCAAAATGAATTAATTTTGTGTTTTATTTCTTTTTTTCTGTAGATTACATTCTGTGCCTTGGAATAATAGCCTTCATACTGATAGTCACATATGTTTACATCAATAACCTTGAACCTTATAAAATTTCAGGTAGGTTTACAAGATTGTTTAGGATAAAGACCGTTGCCACATCTCCGTTATCTAAAGGAAGTAAATGGAAAATGCAAACTTAGTGTATTATTCTTGAAAAAAGCTTTTCAACAAAGTAACTGAATACATGTAGGAAAGGTTATATACATGTAGGTATCTTAAAAGGATGAGTTAGTACCTTACTCAGAACCAGGTACATCTCACTTATCTTTCGCCGGATTTTTCAGAAGCACTGCTTGTGAAATGGGTAAATAAAAATGTTTTCGTTAAAAAGAAAACCCCTAGAACAAAAATTATGTCGATCAGTATTAAGTACTTTAATGCTTTGAAACTCTGTTGATTTTTGTGTAATTTACCATTTTCGACGACTTGTTGTGACCCTTATCGCCGGTAAATTTGGTCTTACTTCTTGTATTTCATTTCACGTTAATCTTTGATAAAAAAAAAAAAGCTATTTATAGTTTTTTCCGGTAAAACCGGGTATTGTCAATATTTAAATTCATTAGGGAATTTATTCGGACGTCTTATGGGATATGTATAATTCAATTCAATGTCAATTATTTAAAAATAAGCAAATTTTGACTACTTCCTGTTCTGCTGGAAGTGTTTACGGTTGTATTTTGACGACATTACCTGATGCTATTTGACATTTTGAACAACTTTGCTTTTTTAATGTTTTAGAAATTCTCGATTCTTGTTGAAATATCAGGGGGGAAATTGGTCTTCTAGTTCCCTTAAGGTCATACGCAATTAAGTTTGAATTTTATTTGGTTCTTCCCTGGAGTTGAAGAGTTCCACTAAATAAGGAATCCGTGTGCAATACTTTTAATGTCTATAGATGGATTTCTACATCTCTTCTAAAACAATTTTTGATGAAAAAAATCTGTAATTTATGCTTTGTAATTTTTGTGCATTTAAGGCGACTAAACGGGCGGTCCTTCGGATGAGACCGTATAAACCAAGGCCCCGTGTCATAGCATGTGTCGCACGATAAAGATCCCTCCCTGCTCAAAGGCCGTAAGTGCCGAGCATAGGCCTAAATTTGCAGTCTTTCACCGGCAATGGTGACGTCTCCATATCAGTGAAATACTCTGGAGAGGGACGTTAAACAGTATACAATCAATCAATCAATACCAATATGTTACATCTTTCTTGGCCCAGTACTAGTGGTTCTTGAAAATATTTTAAAGATTTTTCCTCTGTATTCCTATGTTGAACTTAGATACCCAACTGTGGTACCGCTCTTCCACCGGGGGTCATGATTAAAACAAATTTGAATCCATTAATACAAACCATTACAAAATGAGTCTGTTGTATATAACATGAAATTTTTAATTGCTATAACCTTTATATTCCTTTGTTATGATCCACTATGATAGCTCCTATGTTTTTCTATTTGGAAGTCTTAATCTACATTACCTTGTTTAATGCTTTAATGCTGATGATCAATCACGGCTTTGTTGTTCTTGTGAAGAATTTTAACTATTTTCCCCTTGCATTCCTACGTAAAACCTTGTTCACCTATCGGTGTTGTGGCCGCAATCCATCCCGAGGGGTCATGATTTGAAAACAATTTTGAACCTACACTATCAGATAATGATTCCAGATCACTATGACCAATCATGGGTTTGCTGTTCTTGAGATGACGATTTTAAAGATAGATTTTTCCTATGTAAAGTTTTGATTCCCCAATGTTCCCCCATCCTACCCCCGGGTGTCATGATTTGAACCTAAACTAAGAGAGGATGCTTTTATATAACCATAACCAAACATGGGTTTGCTTTTCTCACAGTCGGGTATCCGCGCCGGTTGTGACAGGTTTGGATGCAGCGAAAATGACGTAAAATGTACAAACGGTGAATTCTGTGTACCTTTTCCAGATCTATATGTTGGTAAACATTAATTTTTTCTCAATTTTTTATTGAAATTTTATAGGTATCTGGTTAATCAAAATGATGTGTTTCAATTCTGTTTATGGAGTTCATTTAAATAATTCGTTGATGCAATTTTTTATCGATGCACATGACACTCTTACCCCTTTAGCAAGTTTTAATTCGTGGTTGTTAAAATAATATCAAATATATTTAAAATCTAAAGCAGCCAAAAGAGAGAAACATCATTTTACAAATAAGATATTGATAGTGTAATTTCTGTCCCATACAAGAAATGTATTTTAAAAACGTTTTATTTTATGTACCCGTAACAAATATAGTACGGTTTGGATAATGGGAGTGTTCTGGTTTGGATGCAAATTCAACATCTATATGTTACGGTTTGGACAGTCTATAGTTTCAAATTTCTGAATCCTGTAGAGCTATGCGAACCAGTTTGCTTGTTTAATACTCCCTTACATGCAGGGAATGGCGTTTATGATAACATATATATTAGTATCAATTCATAAAACTTTTTCACAGGCACATATATGAAAGAAACCACCTTTCCCTTTTTCAAATATTGTTTTTACTGTAATAGTTGATTTCATCTAAAAATGTTGAAACCCTTTTCTTCGACACGATTTAAAGGAAAGTTTTTGATCACACCCCCTTTTTTTCTTTAAAACGACACTACGTACACTCGTACGTGCCTGATAACATAAAATAAATGTAAGATATGTTAAGTTAAATTAAATGGAAAAAAATAAATCATATAATGTATATCCCGTCAAAAGTGAGTTACCAAAGAGTTATTCTAAATTGTAATCCCCCCCCCCTTCCTTCTCAAAACGATATTATGTATACACTGTATATAGATCCAATGTAGTCTCAACTGTCTCAAAATTGATTAGAAACTGCAGCGTTATGATCAGGCGCGGATCCAGAAACTTTTTCCAAGGGGGGTCCACCCCAGGGGGGGGGGTTGTTGGCGATGACTTTTAATGCTTCAAATCTTTAACTTTTCATGTCACTTTAATACAGAAAGAATTTAAAATGGAATAGAATATATTTTATGTAATATTGGTGATCTGACAAAGTTCCATATCCTACTGATCAACCATCCAAATATAACATAACACATGTATTGTGTGAATATTGTCATTTATTAGATGACAATACATAAAATATTAACATTTTATATAATAATAACAAAATAATCTAAGGGGAGATCCAGACCATACTGACATCACAAGTTGCTTTTATAAAATCCCTGAATATGACAAAGTGATCTCCCCTGCTACATAACTTTACAGAACTTTGACAAAATAAAATACAACATAAAACTTTTCACCAAACTATCCAAAAATGATATTTTGATACATACAAACAAACAAAAAGAGCAGCCAGTCCATGTATGTAATCCATACTTTACTTATCTATATATACATTCATAAAAATTTTATCAATGCTGCTAACAGATATACAGGTGAAAGATGGGGAAGGAGGGTGGGTAAGTCAACAAAATTCCTCCTTGTTTACAAAGTTCAATTAACTGTCGCTATCTAAATATCACGTGATACGACCTAGCGATATGATTGGATGATTGCTCTTTAACTTTAGGATCTAGCTAAAAACACCAAAAGCTTGAAAAACCTAGCATTACATTAATAACCAATGCAAGAAAATGTGCAAACATCTCACAAATTACATAAATGTCATTATTTACAATAATATTGTATTATGTAATATTGGTGATCTGACAAAGTTCCATATCCTACCGATCAACCATCCAAATATAACATAACAGATGTATTGTGTGAATATTGTCATTTATTAGATGACAATACATAAAATATTAACATTTTATATAATAATAACAAAAATAATCTAAGGGTAGATCCAGACAATACTGACATCACAAGTTGCTTTTATAAAATCCCTGAATATGACAAAGTGATCTCCCCTGCTACATAACTTTACAGAACTTTGACAAAATAAAATACAACATAAAACTTTTCACCAAACTATCCAAAAATGATATTTTGATACATACAAACAAACAAAAAGAGCAGCCACCAAAGGCAAACAGAATGTTTGCAACCCCCACACAAGGAAGTAGCAACACGTTTTCTAATTTCATAGAACAAAAATGTCTTGAAAACATTGCACATGACCATGTGAAATGAAGAACCAGTAGGCGCATTATTATGCAAAATAAGTCATACATAACAATAAAATTAAACAGTGACATTAAATACATTTTAAGTAAGACTTTTTGGTTAAGACCTGTATTCAAAAATAAAAGCAATAACAGTAATACTATGTACACAACTACATGTAAAGGTAGTGAGCAACACTGTACACAGCAGTTGACTGCTGACCTGTGTGCAAAGGTTATAATGGAAAGGGACTAGAATATAATATACAGCAGTTAACTTCTGTCCTGTGTTTTGGTTAAATAAAAAAAATGGGACTAGGGAATACACAGCAGTTAACTTCTGACCTGTGATACTTTGCACCAAGGGACTAATAAAAATACTCATAGAAACAGCAGTTGACTTCTGACCTGTATATGAACACAAGAATATGGCACAGTTAATTGACACGGTATTTTATAAGGAGATAACCAGAGGTTGGAATTTAAACTGTAAAGCTTTGCAAGCGTATATATCTACGAACAGCATCAGATTTCCATCTGCCCATTTTCTGTATGCAATTTTCAGAATAGCCTAAATGTGCTGCGTGTGTAGCTGCCCCTATTCTGAAACTATGCCCTTTATAAAGAGCTGGGTTTAGGCCAATAAAACGGATTGTATTTTGTAAGTTTTTGGTTACAAATGCATATGTGACTGGTTCCCCCCCCACAAATTGAAATAAGGGACCCGATTCATGAGAAAATGTTTTTAGGTAGAGCCACAGTGATTGAACTGGGCACATATCTTCGTTGCCTGAAGCCTCAAGGTTAATTTGAAAAAGATCATTTGTTTTATTTGTTTTGAAGTTCTTCAATACTATTGTGACTGCACAAGGTGTTTTATGTTGAAATTGAAAAGTCACATCGTCTCGCTGAATGACTTTGGATTGTTCATTTTTTGATTTGATAACAATTTCCCCTAAACGCAAGAATGCATTAAACGCTAAAAGGAAAACGGACTTGAGTAGGATCCTGGTATATAAATTTTGTACTGATGAACTGAGACCTTTTACTAATTTTAACAAAATGGGGGCAGTAATTGGCAATCTTGAATCTTTGTTTGGTGCAGAATGATAGCATCCTTGGAGAATTTTTCTAACTAAAAATGCCTCAGCAGGGTCTGGGACAGACAGAATCTTGTGTACATAGCTAATTGCTGATACATGTGAAGATATACTGCTAGGGGAATACCCCTTTGAAAAAAGTTGTGCTATAAAATTTGATAAAACTGTAGCAGTAATAGGAAGGGAATTGATTGTAGGATATTCTAAGAAAAACATGTCCCATGTTCTTTTGTAAGAGGCTTTTGTACTATTCGATAAAGCAGCTGCTAGAAGTTGGCATGCTTGCGGATTCAGATTTTCAAAGAGGCCTGTGGAATGTGTGTTGGCTGTCGATTTAACCGAGGCATGAACTGGAAGGCTGCCTGAAATTGGAATCGAGATAAGCGGTCAGCTGCAACATTGTGTTTTCCTGGTATATGTTTTGCCCTAAAGTGTATGTTCCATTTTAAGGTTGCCAACACAAGGCGACGTATCAATTTCATGAGGATTTTTTCTTTGGCAGTTTGCTTATTTATAACTTGTACCACCGCCATGTTATCTGACATAAAGAGTACCCTTTTATTTTCCATCTCTTTGCCCCAAATTTCAATGGCCAAAACTATTGGGAAAAGTTCTTTAATTGCAATTTGATATTCCCCCATATTATCTTGCCAATGAGAAACAAACCACTGGGAGTCTAAAATGGCTGCAAACCCCATGGACCCAGAAGCGTCTGTGTATAATGTGAGGTGGTCTGAGGAAAACCATTTTTCTGACAAGAAAACAGATTTTCCATTAAACGTGTCTAGAAATGTTAGCCATGTTTCTATGTCAGCTTTTGTTTCATGAGGGAGTTCAATCAAGTCATTAGGATGTTTTACACCGCAGGTCAAATCGATCAAACGTCTCAAGAAAGCACGCCCAGGAACAATAACAGAACATGCAAAGTTCAGTAACCCGATTAGGGCTTGAAGATCGCGTAGATTTGTTTGGGTTTTTTCCAGCATATCTAAAAGCTTTTGCTTTACTTTCCGAATTTTGTCAAAGGGAAGACGCGCTTCCATTCTAGTAGAATCTATCTCAATGCCATAGATTGTAATAATTGTGGTCGGAGTTTGTGTTTTTGACATTTTGATAGGAACCCCAATTTTCCTACATAAGTAGAGGAAGTTTGTTAGATCTTTTTCGCAGCTAGGAGAATCAGCTGGGCCAATAAAGAAAAAATCATCTAGAATGTGGGACATACCCCCTGCCATGTACCTTGACTGCATAATCCACTGCAAGGCTACACTTAACTGTTCAAAAATCTGGCACGAACTACTTGCTCCCATCGGTAGACATCTATCGAAATAAAACTTATTTTTCCAAGAAAAACCTAATAAATGATAGTCAGATGGATTAACTGGGATTATTCTAAAAGCATCTTCTATATCAGTTTTTGCCATCAAGCAGTTCTTGCCATTTTTCTGAATTAGCTGAATTATCCAGTCAACGGTATCATATTGTACTGCTGAGTTTTCCCTGGGTATGTTCACATTAACAGAATTGTCTTTCGGGTGAGATAAATCATGAATAATCCTGAATTTTCCCTGCTCAGATTTTGGTACTACTCCTAGTGGGGAAGAAACAAAAGGATCAAATGGTGGGTCTGGAAAGGGGCCTGAAATGCGTTTAAGCTGTAGACTCTTTGTAATGTGATTATCTATGATTTCCTCATGTTTTAAAGCTGAGCTGTGATTTTTTGACAAGGGGGCTGAAGGAGTGGTAATACAACCTAGAGAGAACCCATGTGTAAACCCATTTACCAAGTAAGCTTTTAGATCTGGATCATATCCATCTAATTCTTTATTTAAAATGTTTGGTCTTACTGGGGTTGGTAGTTCTGTTTTCTTGAACTCCTTGGGGTGGTGAAGTACACTTGTACTGTGGGTGTTGTCCCCTACATGATTGACATGTGTGAGAAAATTGACATGGGGTGTTTTTGCATTTTTCCCCCCGGTTAAAAGCAAAGCAGAAGCGGACTCTTCCCGCTTGTTTGCCACGAAAGGGCAGCGCATTATAATTGGGTTTTATGGCCTGAGCAATACATTTTCCTCTCAGTTCTTCTACTGGCTTTTGCCATGCGAGGTCGACCGACTCCCTCAATTTTCTGAAGGACTCATCATATGCCCTCCAGGCTGCATCACCATAAAGCTTATGCATTTCTCTGATAAAGCTCATGTATTTCAGCAGGTGGGGAGCCTCTGATGAGTTCTTCTGAATTCTGATACTGATAAAAATCAGAAAGGCGTCAGTCCACTGGTTGATTGACATGGGGGTTTTTGGCTTTAAGGTATGCTGTACATTAATAACCCCCGGAGAAATGGACAGCATAAGAGGGTCTTCCTCCTGACGCGACAGCAGTAATCGTAGATCAAAAAATTCATTAGCCCAAACTTTTGATTTAATTTTTGAAGATACTGTCGCACCAAGAGGAATTCCCTCTGTTACAGAAATTATATTGTCTGTATTCATGGATTTTGTGCCTACTGGCTCACCTGCACTAGAACTCAACAACTGAGAAACAACTGTTTCTATTGTGGATGGTGACTCGTTCCCTTGTTGAGAAGAAGATGACTGTTCTGGTAACTGGGACTGTGTCTCTGGCAAGCCTGACCCCTTAGGTTGTGTATTGGACTGAACCATGCTCTTGGACAGTGTCTTAGCGGGCTCATTTTCTCCGGCTAAGGAAGGCGATGACACCTCAGAATTGGTTGATTGTTGTATTTTCACGATTTCTTGTGCCAGCCTGGCATAGTCAATGGGCTCAGTCGTTAAAGTTTTGGCTCTTTTTGTACCAGACACTGTCTTTGATGTTCCAGGTTGGTCCAAATTGTCCATTGAGTCTTGCCCCCTCTTGCGTCTTGGCATGTTTCTGCGTCTACAAGACATCCTACTGTATTAACAAACAGAAAATATATATCCTATATCTATATCACAGTCTGGTAAAACCCAGTACATATGCAAAAATATGAACTTATGAAGTGTACCCAGTGTGTCAGATTAACCAAGTATTCAAAAGTATCATAAAGTATACTATAATATTCTATACAATATATGTAACAAGGGTACTTGACTAATGATGTGTTAAGTACATCTTGCTAAATGCCAGTAGGCCTGAAATGTCAAGGTGATGGTTGACCACAAGCTGGGACTTTACTCTCTTAAGCACACTACTCTGCATGTACTTAAAGGAACAATTGCCTTTTAAGTTTGTGACAAATAATGAACACACCGTTTGTGTGGAAATAAAATAAACAGTTACGCACTACTCTGCGTGCCACTAACAAGCACACTACTCTGCTTGTGACTGACAAAGCACACTACACTGCGTGTGACCAACAAAACACACTACTCTGTGTGTGATTAACAAAACACACTACTCTGTGTGTGATTAACAAAACACACTACTCTGTGTGTGATTAACAAAACACACTACTCTGCGTGTGATTAACAAAACACACTACTCTGCGTGTGATTAACAAAACACACTACTCTGCGTGTGAAAATAAGTACACTACACTGCGTGTGAACTAACCCAACATACTTTCCTGCGTGTGAAAACAAACACACTACTCTGCGAGTGAGTAACAAAAAACATACGAACACAACACACTATTCTGCATGGAAGTAATAAGATATACTTAATTAGAATATGAAAACAAACACACTACTCTGCGTGTGATAGCAATTGATACATGTATAAGTAATATGGTTAGATGACCATATTATTAATAAATCAACTGTTAATTATTATGACAGGACATATTATCCTAGTAAGCATCTTGCAATACCATGTTCATTTTGCCTTATTATAACAAAACAACTAGAATGCTTAACAATAACAGTTACTATTTAATAATTCCAAAAAGAAATGTTAGACTTAGAGTTTTCAGCAGGTATGCAACATACTAAGTGCATTATTTACAACTGATTGCACTAATTTTAGAAGTGTAATAAAGTGACATGCTTATCTGGAGTGCCGAAGGACAGCTATCCTGATACTGTGCAGATATTTTTTCATGTGAGTCGAATTTGCATCAATATGCACCCCATCTTTTCCCAGGTAGGACAGGTCCGCCCAAAAACCACGATGCGACCAGAAATGGATACCCTCAAGCTTCTTAATTTCAGTCCGCAGGAGGTTGTTTGCATCTATGACGTCAGCATTGTATGAGGGAGAGGATGCCCAGGGTTGTCGTCTCAGCAATTGACCTATGATGACCGTCCGTACACCTACACCATCCCGTAGATACTGTGCATATGAAATAATGTCTGTGCACACCTTTCTTGGTTTTGTTTGGCATAAGTCATTTTCTCCCATCTGGACGAAGCATACTTGTGGAGGTTTTGTAAAATTCATAAATTCTGGGCATCGAGAAAGTCGTGTAAAAGTTAAACCTCCTCGTGCTAAGAAATTCACCTTAAAATAGTCCGGATCCAATTTAAGGTTATACATCTCGGCAGATGTGCAGCTATAATCCCTCAAACGACGAATATATGAATGTCCTATCACAAAAACTTCAGTCGTCATTTCCTCGAAATGGACGGAGCCTGCCTTGTCCTGGGAAAACACACACAAAACTAATTGAACTTACTTTCTTGCTTACTTCAGTTCATGAAAAAGAAAGTACACCGTCAGTTTCGTTTTCTTCACTTCAATTATACGTTCCACTCCAGTAAGTCAACAAAATTCCTCCTTGTTTACAAAGTTCGTTTAACCGTCGCTATCTAAATATCACGTGATCATTGGATGTCATTATTTACAATAATGTTGTAAGTTGAAAAAATTAGTTTGTTAAAATTACATTTTAAGTGTTTCAAATTTTTAAAATCAGCTAGATTTCAGAAAGTAATTCAAAAAATGCCAGATTTTTAACAAGGAAAGCAGTCGAACAGATTAGAAAGACTGTTATTATCTTGCGTGTTAATGTTCAGAAAAGACATCAGCTTGGTTCTGTGTACATGTATTAGGAAAGGCAAAGGACTGTTTTGAAAATTATATCTTTCATAATGAGCGAAAAATTTTGTATTAAACGAGCATTCATTCATATAAGTCAGCCTTTGGTATAAATTAGTTGTTCATATTCTATTTGCATGACTACTGTAAAACTAAAGGCGATGATTTTATATTCTGTGTTATAATTAGTAGGACTAATTCGTCTATAGTTTTTTAAAAGGTTATTTTCTCCTTTCTTGTGTATAAGGGAAATAATTGTGAGTCTTTGAGAAAAGTCTATTTTTATTTCAATAAAATTTCCTTTTACATTTAAAGAAAAGAAGATAATAGGTCCCAAAAACACTGATAAAATTTATTTAGTATTCCGTCTAGACCAGAGGCTTATTTGATATCATATTCATTGCTGTTTCCTTACAGTCATACATTGAAGGGAAAAAATTCAACTTTATGTCTCTTCCCTTATTGGAAAGTTTTTTTACAATACAACTGTCTGTCTAAATATAAGTCAATATCGTCACTCGGCACTAATTCTGAAGAATATTGATTTTGATTAAAATCACACATTTATCATCATCATCGCTGAACATATTATTATCGCTTAAAATTGCATGAATGGCATTCTTGTTTGGTGGGTTTTGTTTTTCTAAACTTAAAAAAATATTTGATTTTTTTTAACTTTCACTATCCAATTTTGACCGTGATCGGATCTGTGTCCCTCAACCTTTTTATCGTTTAAGTTACCATATTGATATTCTAGAATGTTTTTTTTTATTTAGCGTGTATTTTATTATGGGAAGAATTTTCAATTTCAATACTTCTCCACATTTAGAAATAGAAAAGGAGCGATCGATCACAGATATATTTGTCATTTATATATATTTTTATGTTTAATACAATTTATTGAACCTTCGTCATACATATTATGCATTGTATATACTCTACTTCAAAAACAAATAACAGGGTAGATATTAAATTAATGTACAATTAAAATTTGTAAATTTTTCTGGTTTTAATGAATTTTGTTTTCCATTTTTAGATGAATTTCAATTTGAAGGAACCTATTTGGAATCACTCCCAAATGGTGTATTTCTTAGGAAACGTGCAAATGACATGAGTACAGTCATATTGGATGGAGATTTCATGGACATTGTTCGGGTAGGGATAGAAATTGAAGATTTGGAAAATTCGGAGAATACTGATAATGTAACGATATTGCAAGTTGGCTTTAAGAACAACGGGATTCTAAAATATGACAAGACCAATGTTTTATATGATTTATCTGTCTCTGCAAAATATTGCGAAAGTAATAGAATATGTTTGATCGTACAAAATAAAACCAATTTTTTGTCGAAGCGGATAGTAAGTTTACGGGGGAGAAAAGCTTATTTTCGAGGGATATTATCATTTGAATACTCCAGTGGAAATAAACTAAATGTATTCTTTCAATCAACTAAGCTTATATGTACACCATTAGCTAGTGTTCCTGTGTTAGATTTGAAATTGTACACAATGATTGCTCAGTTGGCGGATGCCTTCTTTGCAAAATCAGTTATGACCTTTTATGATGACATCAAAGTGTTTAATCAAGTTCACAAAGAAATCTTCGTATCTCCAGATGGGAAAGCCATTGCAAATTATGATATTGAATACCAGTTTAGAAATTCTTTTGCTGATTTAGCCATTCATAAAAGTACTGGATTTGGTAGATCTATCCTGCAATATGAAGGAGTTGTAACATTTCAAAAAAATTCGACATTTATTGATAAACAGGAAAAAAATTTGTTTGAAGTGGGATTAGCTCCATATCATTTGTTATCAAAAAAGACGGCGTTAAGAAATGAAAAGGAAACATTTTTTATTCAAGTGTCGTTCCAATACAATATTTTAACAGACAGCAGATTTCACTTTTATGTTTGGAAAAATGGTACAAGGAAGGGGCACTTTATATTGAGTACGGCATACATAGCAGAAAACCAATTTAAATTCTTTTTTCAGTTTATTATAGATTTAGATTCGAACCGAATTAAAATTAATTACAAACTTAATAATCCCACTAGTTTCGGAGATTTTAAAAATGTGGAATTTGAGAGTATATTATGTCCAACAGTGGGCAAGGAAACTTCATTATATCCAATTACAATTTCCTACAAAATATGGAGACCTGAACCTTTTCATTTTGATGCTAATTAATCAGGTTTATGAAGTACTTCATTTCTTGTGTTATTCTAGGAATCATTGCACTTTGAGTTTTTACGTGAAGAGCAAAATCAGAAATTCTTATCCAGGGTATTTTGATTACGTCACATATCTTCCAAATATAATTTTGTAAATAACTACATATTAAGGAGAGTTAGATTTCTATTTAGACTTGTCACGTGATGTAGCAATCAAGGGATTTTAGCACAGACATGCAGTATTGTGATCACTTCCAAATCAATAGTTCAATAGCATACAAAGTTTAATTTAAGATATTTTTGATAGTCATTGTAAATTGTTACAAGTTCTGCGATCATTCATAGAATCTACAAATATTAATCATTTTTGTACATAAAGATATCTATAAACAAATGTTCTCATTAACTTAACTTAAGTCTAACATTTAAAGGTTGGGAAGGTATTTAAAAAACATACTTGCAACTCCTCTCAATACTTCAGAAATACTGTATACGAGGGTTGTCCCAAAAGTCGTAGACAATATTTATAACTTTTTTAACATGCAACCAATACTAACCAAATTTTGCATGGACATAATATATTCAATATTCTTTACAATTGTAAATTCTTAAGAATACATTTTTCATATTAATTCTATTGGGACAATTTATATGACGGTCGATACTCGATATGGCGTGTCTACGAATAATTTTCGCATATAACTGTTACAATTGCTTTTATTTCTTTGATACTATGTAAAATATTAAACTCTAATCTAAATCAATGAAACAAGAATCAAAATCTTAATAACATGTCAAATTTTCATATTCATAGCATTAGAAACAGACGATTACTGCCAGGATTGTCAAATTGTTGTTGGAATTGAGTTTGATGAATATGACGTCATCAAACGCGTATCGGCGCACCGAAAATAGTTACCGCATGTACAGCTGTAAGAAGTAGCTAGAGTACTGTTTGTTAAACGCGACATTGGGAATGTTCTAGGCCACGAACGACGTCAAACAATGTGTATTTTCTGCTGCCTAAAATGGAAGGTGATCTTTTCAACTAAATTTCGACTGAAATTTGAATCTTCTAAAAAAAAGGACAGCAGTGAATTTAAATAAGTCCCTTAGTCAAGAGTGGTTTTTCACTTGAATAATATTGGGATCTTAACAGATGCGTTTGTGTTTTTCACTTAAATAATATTGGGATGTTAACAGACGTGTTCGTAGC